CAACTCTCCTATCCTCTTATTTCCTTTTCCAATTGGTAAATGTCTAAAGTTAATTTCAGGTAGAGATAGGTTTATGCATGAACCAGAGTACCGACAGATAACGAAACCTTATCGTCAATCTTTTTTTCGACCCGTCTGAATGGTTGAAAAAGACTATGCGAGTGGCCCTGCCGTTTTCCCACGCCCAAGTGTCCGTAGGGTTCTGTAATAATAAAGAAGAAAGCCGCTTCTCTCTTTCTGTCCCTTTCTATCTCTCTCTCTCTCTCTCTCTGTCTCTCTCTCTCTCTCTCTCTCTCTCTCTCTTTCTCTCTCTCTCTCTCTTTCTTTTCAACTATGAGCAATATCCGAACGGACGTCTGCCTTTCGTGGACGGTCTTAAAAGAGATTCCTTTCGTCTCTCTCTTTCTGATTGTTAGCCTTCGACACGCGCACATGGATACATGTATTTAGGTATATATACATATATCATTAAATATCGTCTTTTGGTGAAAAAAATCCCAGGAAACGAGGAACAAATGATCTCGTCAGAAGTAGACGACGACGACAACGGTTGTAGCGCGCGAGGTTAAGCGATGAGAGGACCTTCTTCTTCTCGTGCTGGTTGGGAGGGTGCTGGAGGAAATGGAGGAGAGTGGAATGAAGGTATATAGCCAAGCACGTTTCGACTCCCACCCTGGTACTCACGGGCTAGCGCCAATCGTTGCTCTGCTCCTCCTTGAGACCACGCATCTTTCCGTTTCTCTCCCTTTCATCGTCCGCTCCCTCATTCTCTTTCTCTTTCTCTTTCTCTTTTCTTAAGCTCGATAACAAACTGACCCAGCTCCTAGCGCCCCGCGTGTTGGCACAGGCGGCTTCTTTCTTACCTGGCTAAGAACAACGCGTTGGGACGCACACGCATCAAATGAGTTAGAGGGAGAGAGAGAATCTCGATGAGATGATCGTCCATGGAAGATGTAGTAGTAGTAGTAGTAGTAGTAGTGATGGCACGTTGCTTGGAAGCAAAGGGGGTGTTAGTTAATGAGCTCGAACCACGGGGTGCTTGGTTGGAAGAAAACGGCCCTACAGGCGATGACTCCCCCGCCTTTCTGGGAAGTCACGAATTGCGGCAGCCGCCTTTCGACTATTTTCTCTTTTTTCTATTTCTTACTCGTGCCGCATTAACGATCTAACAACGACTAGGATTCTCTAGAATTTTCTAACCTGCCAATTAAGCTTTCGACGAGGTTTGGAAGAATAGAAACTGTCATTGGAATCGTTATAGATGTTGAAGATGTGATATTTCTAATCTCAATGAAAATTCTATAGAGTTTCGATATATTTTAGCTTCTTTTCTTTTTTACAACGCTAGAAAAATCATAAATATATATATATATATCTGGAGGAATCAAGTTTTAAGGATTATTTGAGAAAAAAAATGTGTATGTCTTTTTCTTTTCTTTTTTTTTTTTTCACAATCGACAACTAAAGTGCCGAAAGATCAAAGCGAGATCGGAGAAGTAATCCTTGCCATTCTTCGATACCTAGAATGGAACGAGGAACGATGGTATATAACAGCACGACGATCCAAAGACGAAGATAGAAGAAGATGAAAAGAGACGGAGCTAACTCGGTGGGGGAAACAGCGAGGAAAGGAGTGAGGGAAAGAAAGGAGGAAGAGGTGGAGAAGGTACAGGTACGGCGAATCAAGAGTGGGGTGCACCTGACCAACAGGTACCTAGTATGAAGCGCCCAGTAAGGAGTCTCAGAGTTAGTTCAGCCCACTCTACCACCACCACCATCATCGCCACACAACCACCACTACTATCGCTGGACCAGACTGAACAGATCCTCCGTGATTCCTTCCTTTCTGTAGTGTTAACATGCAATATCTTGCAGCCAGGATGGCCTTAAGAAAGAATCATTTAGATGATAACGAGAAGCCGTGCGTTTAAACGATCTTTTTTTGAACAGAAAAAAACCCCCCAAAAAAAGCATACAAAAATAATTAAATCGTCTAATAAACTTATCATCGAGATTCTTTTTTCTTTTGTTTTTTCTTTTTATAGAACAGCGACGAATTTAGAAAATGAATCATTTCATCGACCTGATCTTTTAAACGTTGTTGCTAATGATGAAGAAATAACAGGTATACGAGATATGATAAGAAAATAACGTTAATATTTATTTAAATGTAAACATATATCAATGACGTATTATGGGATTTGTATTCAATTAATATTAATCTAACTTGTATCTAATTTTCATCAGAATAAAAAAAGTTATTATTATGCGTTATTTAGAAAGAGATTATAATAGAATAAAAATAGAAAACTATTATTATAATAATTTCGATGTGTGTGTTAACTCTTCCACGATCGAGACAACGCCGTTGATTGTTCTAACTATCATTAGCCAAAGAAGTATTTCGATGTGTAAACAAAAATGAACTTAGTTCATTCGTTTCATCGACTTCGTTCTTATTTTAATGAATTGTCCGTACGGTAAACAATGTAATAACCGG